CTACAAAAAGGAGTCTTGCACGAACAACATCCTTGAGAATTTAGGAGCTTCTTTCTCATGGTGACAGGTCTGCAGTGTCATGCTGTCTAAAAATCTTTTTTTTTTTTTTTGGCTTTTTAGGTCACACTCGGTGATGCTCAGGGGTTACTCTGGGCTCATGCATTCAGGAATTACTCCTGACGGTGCTTGGGGGGGACCATATGGGACGCTGGGAATCGAACCTGGGTTGGCCGCGTGCAAGGCAAACGCCCTACCCGCTGTACTATCACTCTAACCCCCTGTCTAAAAATCTTGACCTATACTTTTAACACAAAGGCATATACCCCGAGCCCCCACACACCCTGCCTTCAAACTGGGTCCCTCAACCATGCACCTCACAGTCCCGTGTACCCTGCCTTTGAGACACAGTCCAAGCCTAAGGTGCATGAAGACATCCATGACCACCCTCTTCCTCTCACCCCACACTAGCATGGCTGCCCCCGAGTCAGTCTCAGGCACTCCCAGCAGGGTGCAAGCCTTGCAGGGGACAAAGCACGCAGCTCAGCTCTGCAGGGGCCGGGCCTGGGCATGGAGACACTAGTCTCTGCATCACAGAGGAGGTGCATGCAGGATGCAGGGCTGGGAAATAGGCCCTTGCAGGAGTCTGGATCTCAGGCATGCAGGGTGCCGGTCTCCAACCCTGGCCCTGGATGCAGGAATGACAGCTCTCCTCCATTCCACTACAAGTACTGGTGCTGACCACTTCCCACTGATTGCATGATTCACCAGTGGGGAATTCGTGATTCACCCAGGGGTTGTGACTGAAGTCTAAAAAATCTCTCAGATGATCAGAGCGTACTGGTTCATGCATGATGCACTTTTCCAAGAAATTTTGGATTTGGACTCCAAGCCTCAAGCCTGCGCTCCTGACTTTGGGAAGGGGACCCAGCAGTGCCGGGCGTCCATGGTCTACAGGAGAGATTCCAATTTTCTACATGTCTCAGGAGAACTTCGTGCTGGCCCCTCCCCAGCAGGGGCAGGTCCCAGATGACCCACCTGGAAAACCGGGTGCCGTGGCACTGGAATTCTGTGGGAGGAACCCCAAAGGGTGGCTTTCTTTGAACTCCAGTGACTTGCTGGAGAGAATGTGGATCTGCCTTAGGGTCCCAGAATCCCTGTATTTTAAGTAAGGGGTAGGGGGGGATTTCTGTCTCCAGGCAGAGAGCTTGCTTGAGAATGAACGTCCGTACACAAAGTAGAGACTTGAGATGAACACCCTATTAAGATCATCTCTCTGGTCCCTGAGTCCCACTAAGAGGGATCTGAGTGCAGAGCCAGGAGGAAGCTCTGAGCATTGCTGGCTGGGTGTGGTTCGAAAGCCAAAGAATAAAATAAAGAACCTGACCTCACCGATGCTTAAAAAAAAATAAAGACACTGCTGCTTTATAAATTTTAATAAAGAATGACCAGCCCTTTTACTTTGAGGGATCCATCAAACAAAAGCAAGTACTGTGAAGTTTAAATTTTCTTTCTTTCTTTTCTTTTTTCAATAATGTAGGAGTACTGCTATTTTTTCAGCCATTGATTAAGCTGATTGAATTGGACATGAACTCCACTTTTTTTTTTAGATGTAGAAGTACTACTATTTATTCAGTTATTGATTAAGCTGATTGAAATGGGCATGAACCCCACGAATTTTGCTTTTTTTTTTTTTTTGGTAAGTTTAAATATTCCTCCGCCCCTCTCAGAGAGCCCGGCAAGCTACCGAGAGTATCTCGCCCACATGGCAAAGCCTGGCAAGCTACCCGTGATGTATTTGATATGCCAAACACAGTAACAAGTCTCACAATGTTACTGGGCCCGCCCAAGCAAACTGATGAACAAGGGGAGGACAGGGACAGTGACAGTGACAGAAGTTTAAATAAATGACCACCTAATCTCTTACTGTGAGGTATCCATGCCTAAGCAATGCTCGGGGTTCCTTCTGGCTCTGCACTCAGGAGTCACGCCTGGTGGTGCTCAGGGGACCATATGGGATGCAGGGGATTGAACCCAGGTCAACCGCATGCAATGCAAGCGCACTACCCACTGTACTATCTCTCCGGCCCCTGAACTTTATGTCTTAAAGAGCTATAGCTCTAATTCTATTTTATTTTTTTGGTTGGATCATGCATGGCCGTGTTCAGAGGCTACCTTGGCTCTGTCCTTGTGACATCATGGGACCATATGCTCTTGGGGGTCCACCCTGGGCCTCCTGCCATTGGTGCTCCGTTCACAGAGCTCTACCTTCCTCTAACCCTGCAGATCTAATTCTTTCAGTACAGAAAGAAAACCCGATGTTCTTTAGTCTGAATGAAACAAACATCTAGAGGATCCCAAAATAGTTTCATAATGGTTCAAATAATATAAGATGGCATTTCCCTAGAAAGTGAACGTTTAATTCCATGTGGGGGGGGTGATAAAATCCGAGCCAACTTTCTTATTTTAAGCACTCGGAGTGTGACGCATAGGGCAGACTGCTTTGAAAAAGTCACGGCAGCTTTTATTGAGGATCCTGGAACTTCCACACAAAAATTCGGGGAGATGCAGCCTGGCTCAGTGGCTCCCTGGGGTGTGAGTGGATGTTGTTCCACAGACGGTATCCACACGCCAGAGCTGAAGCCTGGTGCCTGCTCACGGTTCATGAGCTCCCACTCTCGCTGCAAGGAAGGACGTGGCTCCCTGAGCAGTGGACATGGGGTTTGGACCCACTACAGAGAGAACCAGGCAGCTTGTCCCAAGAACATGACCCAAAACCCACTTAAAACCCTCCCTCTGGGGGCTGGAGCGATAGCAGAGTGGGTAGGATGGTTTGCCTTGCACGTGGCTGGCCTGGATTCGATTCCCAGCATCCCATATGGTTCCCCGAGTACCGCCAGGAGTAATTCTTGAGTGCATGAGCCAGGAGTAACCCCCGTGTACCGCCGGGTGTGACCCAAAAAGAAAAATAAAAAACCTTCCCACCTGCCCTCAAGATTCTGGGGTACCCCATCCCTCCCTCCGTAAAAGGTGCCAGAAGGGGCGGTCGCCACCACTCGTGAAGAAGGCAGAGGCTGGAGTGATAGCATAGTGGGTAGGGCGTTTGCCTTGCATGCGGCCAACCCAGGTTCGATTCCCAGCATCCCATATGGTCCCCTGAGCACCGCCAAGAATAATTCCTGAGTGCAAAGCCAGAAGTAACCCCTGTGCATCGCTGGGTGTGAACACCCTCCCCCGCCAAAAAATAAAAAATTTTAAAAAAAGGCAGGGGACGGCTCGGCTTTTCAGTCTCCACACGTCAGGGCTGGCAATTCTGCGCCTCAGATATCTCCAGGTCTCTGTTCTCGTTTTTGGGTCACATTGCAGTACTCCGGGGATCGAACTTGGGTCTCTGGCATGTGAAGTCTACGCTCAGCTGATGAGCAAACCTGTCAGCCTTTTTACACGCTCTGTGGAAAAGCACCCTGTAATGTGAGGCCCTCCTCTGGATGTCTGGCCCTGTGCCCCTTTCTGCTGAAGGATGCTGGCTAAGTTTCAGAAGCAGTCAATGTTTTAGGGGCACTTAGTCCTCGGAGGGGGCTTCTGAGGACCCCTGGGTACTCTGGGCACTGAGAGAGGGAAGAGATGCAGGGAGGAGGCGATGCAGTGGCAGCTACTTGTGGACAGAGGTGAGGTGAGGAGGTGAGGCTTCCTGACTGGGAGAAATTACCCCCAGCCTGAGAATCATGCGGGCCCTTTCCTCAACACTAACAGGGACAATCTGGGAAGCTCTTTGGGGGCGCATGCTAGGTAATCCCATTAAAAACAACAAAAAAAAATAGACCAGAAGAGAGGAAAGGGCTGTTTCTGTGTTCCTACACAAGACAGGTGTGTTCTTGACCTCTGATCCCAGCCAGGGTCACGTCCTCCCCCTTCCTGTGTCCCCACATCCTCTGATGTTATGGTGGACATTCATTATATTTATCTTTGGTGTTTATGATTTATAGAATGTACTTTAAGAAGACGATTTTGCTTGTGCCTGGGAAGTTTCCAAAGGATGCCCGCCCTGTCTGCTCTGGGTGAACTTCACTGTCACTGTCCTCCCATGGTTCTTCAATTTGCTCGAGTGGGCCCAGTAACACTGGGGGGTTAGTTACTGTGTTTGGCATATCAAATACACCACGGGTAGCTTGCCAGGCTTTGCCGTGTGGGCGAGATACTCTTGGTAGCTTGCTGGGCTCTCCGAGAGGGGCGGAAGAATCGAACTCGGGTCAGCCGTGTCGGCTGTGTGCGTGGCAAACGCCCTACCCGCTGTGCTATCGCTTCTCGGCCTTTTGGCTAAGATCAAGTGTAGTATCTGGGTGAACTTACCTGTTCCAAACGAAGAAAACACTGATTTTAGGAAACTCCCTGTAGCTAAACGGAGGGGATGCCATTAAGCGTGGGCGCCTCTGCGTTGCCTGGGCACGAAGCAAAATAATGATGAGTTTGCAGTAATGCCTATAAAAACAGGCTCGCAGACCCCTTTGGGAGTTTGCCCACCCTAGATCCACCGGTCTGACCAGCCGGTGTTAATACAGACCTCCTTGTGTCCCCACCATGGTTTGTCTCCGAGTGCCTGGATAAACATATGACCCCCTTCCTGATGTGCAGAAATCAGATGGCCCATGTCTGCAAACACTTCAGCATGATTCCGTGAGCCATCTCTCCAGAAGGGAGGAGAAATGGTAGGAGGTCCAGGCTGAGTAGGACCCTGGGGGCCTGGTGTCAGGGCACACAGGGACCTGAGAAGCCAAGGCTGAGGGCTGCAGGACTCGAGTCAGACCCAGCCCCCGAGACACTGTAAGCTGTGGGGCCTGGAAGCCAACGCTCGGCCATTCCTCCCTGTCACTGAAGAGCCCTTCTCCCGACTCAGAGCACTCGACTCGGAGTAGCCGCCGCCACCCTCCGTGCCCAGCAGACAGTTATACACCATGTCTTCCTGCAGTGTGAATTTTAATATCCCAGTCCAAAGCCGAGGGCAGTGAGTTAAAAAAATACTTTTTTTTTTTTTTAAACAAAGTGAGAACGATGACAAGGACCGTTAAATGTACAACCAACTGTCATGGTCAAAAGATGGGCCGTGGCCAGAGTTCTGTGGGGCCCAGCTGAAACTTGCACAGACAGGAAAGCTGGTTGCTGGTGGCTCCAAGTTGGGGTGGGGGGTCGTGGGGGACAACTTTCCGGTGCTCTGCGGCCCTCAGGAGGGCACCCACATGTTCCCGTGAGTGTCCGGCGCTTTCACATAAGGAATGTTCCAGATCCACGGCCGATCTGTGGAGGAAGCACAGCACAGACATGCCTGACGCTTTCTCGGACGTGACAGGATAAGGGGCTGAAGCTAAAGTACAGCGGGGAGGGTGTTTGCTTGCACACGGCTGACCCGGGTTCGATCCCCAGCATCCCACATAGTCCCCGAGCATGGCCAGGAGTAATCCCTGAGTGCAGAGCCAGGAGTAACCCGAGTATCGCTGGGTGTGACCCAAAAGGCACAAAAGAAAATAAAAACAGGGGCTGGAGTGATAGTACAGCGGGTAGGGTGTTTGCCTTGCACGCAGCCAACCCGGGTTCAATTCCCAGCATCCCATATGGTCCCCTGAGCACCGCCAGGAGTGATTCCTGAGTGCACAGCCAGGAGTAACCCCTGTGCTTCGCTGGGTGGTACCCAAAAAGCGAAACAAACAAACAAAAACAACAACAAAAAACAAAAAAGAAACTTCAGAATCTTACGGGGCGATGCCATTGAAGCCCCCAGCCCCAAAGCCCAGGCCTGCCACCGAGACTCACACTGGCTGCCCGGCTGCCCAGGTTGGACACTGCTCTTGAGTGGGGAGGCTGCAAGTCCCGGGGACAGGAGCTGAGGCTCTGGCAAGTGGTAAGCAAAGTTCCTGGGCTCTTTGAGCCTGCGGGGAGGGGCTGGAGGAGGCAGCAGCTGGCCTTCCCCCCCCCCCCCGCCCCCCCAACATCCTGGGCTTCTAGCAGGAAAGCGCCTCGGCCACCGTCCTTGTCTGGTGCAATGGGTGGGGCCTCCCTGTAAGAGGGTGCGGTGGGTGTGGACGGCCAAGAGATTTCTCTCTGAATAACAAGCCCTGTGCGTCACTCCGACTGCCTCACGCAAGACCCCAGGGACGTGGGACATGATCTCACAACAGGGCAACAGCTGGAATTTGGCGGCATCTGCCCTGAACCTGGTTGGCAAAGAGGTTTGCAAAACATGTGAGCTATGCCGGCTGTGGATGGATGCCTTTGGGGAACTCGCTAGAACATATACCATCAGGGGCTGGAGAGAAAGGCCGAGGGCCAAGGTGTCCCTGCCTTGCACGTGGCCGCCTTGGGTTCGATCTCCGGCATCACAGAGGGTTCCCTGAACACTGCCAGGAGCAAGCCTGGGCTGGAGCACAGCTTGGGGGGAGGTGGTGGTGTGTGTGTATGTATGTACGCCAACTCCCCGCCCCCGCCCCCCCATGTGTGTGTGTGTGTGTGTGTGTGTGTGTGTGTATGTGCGCGCGTGCACGCCAACTCCCCCCCCCCCCCCCGCCATACATGTTTTAAGGGGCTCTTCACTGTTATTCTGAAACATACCAGTAAGTTTTTATTTTTTGGCCTTTTTTGGGGTCACATCGGCAATGCACAGGGGTTACTCCTGGCTCTGTTCTCAGGAATTGCTCCTGGCGGTGTTCGGGGGACCCTATGGGATGCTGGGAATGAAACCCGGTTGGCTGCAAGGCAGACACCCTCCCCGCTGTGCTATTGCTCCAGCCCCTTAAGTTCTTAAGAATAAAAGTACAGAGGGACCCTGAGATAAACCCGTTCGAGAACTATGACTCCTGGGGTCTCAGGGATGCTAAGGGCCCTCTATAAACCCCTGCTTCCAAAACCCACCACCAACCAGATGCCCACGGAGGCGCCCTGGCTTCTCCTGGAACCAGGCTGGGTTTTCTCTTTGTGGGGGCCCGGGGTGGGGGAGGGGGGTGTCTCACCTTTGCTGCCATACTGCTCTGGAGGTAGATCGTAGGGCACAGGAAAGGGGGTGGCTGGATCCTGAGTGCTGGAGAATTTCTGTTTCACTTTGAAGCTGTCCAGACCCTGCAGACACACATACACAGAGGAATTGATTTTTGGGCTTGATTCCCTGAAACAGGCGCCTCGAGACGCAGTCACCCCTCTGTGGAACACGCAGCATTTTCCGGTTCCACGGGTCGGATCCAGACAACTTCCCCAACGCGAATCTTTCCTGGAAGCGAAGACGTTCCAGTTTAAGGAACACAGGGGTGAGCTTTGCAGACGATAAAAGGGCACAGAGACAAGAGGAAAACCACTCAGGCAGTGAGAGTCAGCGCCCTAACTGCCAATAGCCGACCCGTCAGTGGGCGAACGCCTCCAAATACCTTCATTTCTTCACTCCCGGGAGGGGGCTGCTCACCCTGGAAGGCCTTTTGGGTGCACTCATGGGCCATGCCAAGGAGGGGAGCAAACCAAAGGAAACTCGACAAGCCCCACGAAGCAGAAGGCGCATCTCAAGAACCCAGAATAGCCAGAATAGGGCATTCACCGTTTTCTTCTTTGCCACTGTCGTGGAGGGGGTGAAAAGGGGCAGGGTATGGTGCCAAGATAAAACCCAAACCAGGTCCTCATGGGAGACTCAGTTGTGCGTGACCGCTTGAGACCCCTGCCCAGCCCTTCACTTAAGGTTTTTTTTTTTTTTTTTTTTTTTGCTTTTTGGGTCACAGCTGGTGATGCACAGGGGTTACTCCTGGCTCTGCACTCAGGAATTATTCCTGGCGGTGCTCAGGGAACCAGGTGGGATGTCGGGAATCGAACCCAGGTCAGATGCGTGCAAGGCAAACGTCCTACCCACTGTACTATTGCTCCAGCCCCCTTCACTTCAGACCCTTATGTAAAGCTGGGGTTTCTACCAAGGCTTGTGGAGACACAGTCACTTTTTTGTGTCAGTTTGTCCCAGCAGTCCTGTTTGAATCCCTCTGCCGTGTACCCCAGCACAGTTTGAAGGCTCGTCCTCATGCTCCCGGTCACCCCTTGGGACGCATCTCAGTGAGGCAGTGCTGATGTCTGAGAAACCCGAAAGAGGGTGGGGGCCAAGGTCCAGGGCCTGGTCACCTGAGGTTTAGGCAACAGAGTGCCAGCCTTTGTTCTGGCACTGTTATTTTTTGGAGGGGAAGGGGAGGGAGAGGGATGGTACTCAGGGGTGACTCCTGGCTCTGCACTCACTCCTGGAAGTGCTTGGGGGACCCTGAGAAGCCGGAGATCAAACCCAGGCCAGCCGTAAGCCAAGTGCTGTGCCCCCTGTTTTACTGTTCCGGCCCCAAGTTCTGGCATTTTCCGAGCTGTGGGAAAGACTGCTCCACATGAAACTACAAGACCCTGTCCTCGTCTGGCACTGCCTGCCGGGGTCACCAAGAACATCACCCTCCCTGCCTAGTGCAGAGATGAAGCTGATGCTCAGTGCTGTGCAGGGAGAAGAGAGGCAGGAGAGAGGGACAGGCCCAGGCCCCAGGGAACAGCCACATTTCCCTTAACTCTGGTCAGGGTGCAGGAGCTGATGCCTTTGGAGGCTGGAGCGGCAGCAGCCCAGGCCCGAGGTGGCAGGGAGCAGACGTGACCCAGGGGCCAGAGGAGACGGGACACTGACTCCGTCTCAGGCCTCCGTTTTCTCACTGGCAAAACTGCAACGGCAAGTTTCCTGGGCCCCCAAGTCTCTCACTTCAGTACTGGGCATGTACGTGTCTTGGGTCGGGCTGGTGCTGCAGAAACGCTGAGCGCTGTGTGCGTGCATGTGTGCATACATGCGAGTGTTCGTGTGTGTGTGTGTGTGTGTGTGTGTGTGTGCACGTGCTTGTATGTGGTGGGCACAAACCTTCCCCGCTGTCTTCCCAGACTCTTGCTGAGAGCAAACCTGGCGCTACACCGAGCCCAGGGGAAGGTGAATGGAGGGGTTTCGTGCAGCCTCCAGGACAAAGCGGTGACAAAGAGGCAGGGAGGGGCGGCCTCGGGGTCATGGAAGGGCTGACCTCTCTGGGTCTTGCAAAACCAGGGTGACTGGGGCTGGAGCAATAGCACAGCGGGTAGGGCATTTGCCGTGCACGCGGCCGCCAATCCAAGTTCTATTCCCAGCATCCCATATGGTCCTCCGAGCACCGCCAGGAGTGATTCCTGAGTGCAGCGCCAGGAGGAACCCCTGTGCATTGCCAAGCATGACCCAAAAAGCAAAAAAAAAAAAAAAAAAAAAAAAGGGTGACTTCTGTCTTAATGTGGGGGGGTTGGGCTGGATCCAGCCGGTGCTCAGGAGTCACCCCTGCGTGGTGCAGGACACCCAGCTAGGGTCAGCCTCACACCAGGCCAGCCTTCACCTCCTGCACCACCTCTCTGGCCCCAACGGCGGTGCTCTTGATTGCAGAGAGCCAGCAGTGAAGGTGATAGGGAGACCGGCGTAGGCCAAGAGGAGGAGCAGGGTGGGGGGCAGAGGGGCACCAGGCAGAAGGACACACACACACCACACAGTGCTCTGCATGAGAAACCCGTGGACCTCTGGGGCTTGTGCCTACGTGACCAGGCATCTCCCTTGGTCCTGCCACGGGCAGGAGACCCAGGCGGGAAGAGGTCAGGGTGAGGCGAGGGGCGCTGACAGCTGCCTGGCGCTCTGCCCGTCCGCCCCAGAGAAGTCCAGCCCTGTTCGCCTGATTCCTTCCCTGCCCTGGAGATCAGCCCTCCAGTAACCCACGCTGCCACAGAACTGGCAGGCTCCGAACCATGGAACCTAGGGCTCACAGGAGCAACGGTGGAGGAATGAACCACCCAGGTGGGCTACATGCAGGCCGAGTGACTCATCTGTTTCCTGCTACTGCATCACAGTCCCCCCTAAGCCTCGCCAGGAGAGACCCCCCCCCTCCCAAGGCCTGCCAATATTCCCCTTACCTAGCAACTTCCAAGCACGCACAGACAGGCTGTGAACCCGCTAAGGTGACTGGCGCCTCCCGGGACCCAGAGCTTGGAGTCTCGTACCTTTGCCTGCTTTCACTGTCTAGCCCAATCAATTATCTTCATTGCTGACCCGTGTACAAGTTATTTTGTGGTGTGACTCTAGGTTAAGTCACTCCACCTGTCTGGGTGGCGGTTTCCTTCTCTAGGAGGCGGCGAGGGTTTGCTCTCTCGAGCTGTGCTGGCCGTGGCTGTGGGGTCGGGACACCTAAGTGCATTCCAGGAATTCTCTGTGCCGGGCTTACATCCGCCTCTCAGAGGAGGGGAGATGTGGGGAGGTCGGTCAGTGGCCCCAGCCACGCAGCGCTGAGGTGGTGAGGGAAGAAAACAGACACCTTGGTGATGCCAGGTCCCACGTTCCTTCCTAAATCACATGGACTCACGCTGCTCCCAGGAACTTTGGGACAAGTTTTTCTAAACCCAGAGAAAACAGGTATTAGAGCCCTGCCTTTTTTTTTTTCTTTGCTTTGGGACCGTAGCCAGTGAATGGTGCTTAGGGCTTTCTGCTAGCTCTGGGCTCAGGGAATCGAGGGGTCAGTCGGGGAGGTGGGAGGGGGGGTGACTGAAAGGTCATATAGAAAGGTCATATCGAATCTGGGTTGGCTGCTCCAAGGCGAGTGCTCTCTAGTCCCAAGACCTTTTACTTTTACTTTGTTTTGCTTTCTGCTCTGAGAGGCGGAAGCAGACGACAGGGAGGTGGCCACAAGTCCAGGTAGGGGCTTAGAGACACTTCCGGGAGAAGGGTGGCGTCTGAGATGCCTGGGGCCCTGCACCCTCACCCCTCACCCCCCACCCCGCTTAGTGCCTGGGATACCGTGTGTGTGTGTGTAGGGGACGTCTGCGTGGTGTGTGCTCAGCCCACTGAGACTGTTTTCCCAGGGGTCCAGGCTGGCAATCTGTGCCAGAGCGGAGGACGCGGAGTCTCCAGGGCCACACCCTGCGATGCTCAGGGGGCCATGTGTGCTGGGAACTGAACCTGGGTCTGACACGTTAGGCATGTCTTGGGATTTAGAGACCCTCCCTTTAAAAAGTTGTCTTTCTTTTTTTTGTGTGTTTGGGCCAAGCCTGGCCTTACTCCTGCCTCTGCACTTGGAAATTACTCACTGGCGGTGCTCGTGGGCCCCAGGGATGCTGGGGATCGAACGTGAGTCAGTTCTGTGTACAAAACAAAAAGTCCTCTCCGCTGTACTATCATTCTGGCCCTGACACTCTTTCTAAAACAGGAAAGAGACGGCTGAGGGTGGCACGAATGTTCATCACTGCTTTTTGGAATTTCAGAAGAAAGACACTTCCTCTTCCTTAGCCCACATCTGTCCTTTTCCAATCCGCTCAGTGAAGGGCATGGAGTCACTGGGACCTGGACCCAGGTCAGACGCCCCCGGTTCCGTCATCTGCTGGTTCCGTGCTGTGGGGTCTGAATTCCCGGGGAGAAAGGTTTGAGCCCTTCATGGCTTGACAGGAAGCAACATACCTCCCCCCTCCCCAACTTGAGCGCCACATGTGATCCAAATTCTAGGGTACTGTGTACATATAAAAAAAACCAAGTACCACTTTTCCCTTCAATCTGGTTGTCAAATAATTTGAGGCTGTCTTCTAATTATCATTATTTAGACATCACGGTGGAATCCCTTGGCATTTCACAAAACAGAGACAGCCGCCCTCCCAGCCGCGCAATCTGAAGAGACAGCTCAGACAATATATCGATACGACACCAGGTGAGAGGGTGGACACGCATTGCGTGTGGGAAGTCGCTGCCTCGCCCCTTCCCTAGCTGGGGGTGCAAAAGTGCTGGCTCAGGTCCAGGGGAAACTCTGGATCCGCAGAAAACATACCCGACGCTTTGCAGTCGGGGATGGGATTTTTTCTTTCCTGTGAACCTGAGTGCGCCTCCCCCACACCCCCCTCCCTCTATGTGGAGCCCCTCTCTGCGGGGTCTGGGCTTGCCGCAGTCCTGGTGGCTGAGCCTCAGAGAGGCGGAAGCAGACGACAGGGAGGTGGCCACATGCCCAGCTGGGGGCTTGGAGATGCTTCTGGGAGGAGGGTGGCATCTGAGATGCCCGGGGCCCTGCGAGGCGGGCGCACTTGAGCTGCAGGAAAACGTGGCCACTTGGACTGTGGTACTCAAGTGGCAGGGAGGGTCAGGGACGTTCACGGGCCCGAGCACTCCTGACACTGCCCGCTGCTGGCCAGGCCCTCCTCACCAGATCCCCTTCCGGCGCTCCCCACGCCTCGGATTTCTCTTATCTGTATTTTCTCAGGCGGCCGTTGATCTTCTCCCTCCCGCCCAGGCCATCTATCTCGGCCTTTAACTTTGTGTGCAGTGCAGAGGGAACATTCCAGCCCATGTGTGGGGCTCACGGAGGATGAATTCTCTGCTTTGTCTCTGCTCACTTGAAGAGGGTGAGCTCAGTCGGAAGGAAATTCTGCCTCTAGAGCTGCGGCAGTGAGCCACTGGCTGTTCCCGGTCTGGTTGGGCAGAAACTCCTCCAAGGCCGAAAGTGAGTGACAGGTGGATGCCCCATCTGGATGCCTGGGAAAGCAAGCGGCTGCCAAGGTCCTTCAGGGACCAGCTGGGCATAGCCCAGCCACTGCTGCTGGGAGGTACCACGTGGGTGCAGCTCCCGCCCATGGGTCCTCTCCCCATCGCCACTGACACCGGCCGCTCCTAACTCCACGGGTGCCCATTTCAGGGCCGGGGAAGCAGTCGGAGGCCCCGCGTCCCACCACACCTGCCCTGTCCCCCTACTCCCCCCAGCTCCTCTGGGCTTGCGTCTCCACAGAGGTCACCCCCACGGGTCCTTTGAATCTCCAATGTATCCTCCTGTCCTTGTTTTCTCTCCAAGTCACCACGGTTTCTGTCTGAGCATGGCATGAGAACTGGCAGCTTCTCACAGATGGGACAACAAACTCTCCAGGGGATGGTGTGTGTGTGTGTGTGTGTGTGTGTGTGTGTGTGTTTTTATGGGGGGGACCCTAAGGAGTTTAAATGGACAGGGTCCGGAGTCCTGCTCCAATTCAGGTGGCCAAGAGGACACATCTAAGGCTCTGGACAGCATTTTGCAGGCTCCGGAGGTCAGAAGTAACAAGAACAACATGCGACCTGGCTGTGGTCCCTGGGAGCCTCCCACCTAGGGCCCCTGACGGAGGGAAGGTCATGCAGAGCCGGGGAGAAGGGAAAGTGGGGCTCATGGAAGCATCTTTAGCTCTCCCACCCAAGAGCTGCCCCCCACCCCACCCCCTGAGAACTGAGCTAACACTTGTGGATGTCATTTCTGCAAACAAAAATACCACTGAGTGCATCTGAAACTGTCACCCTGCAAGGTCAGGCTGCAGTGCCTGGACACTGGTGAGTCGGGTGAGAACGATGACATACAAAGAGAAACACCATCACGTTCTCATGGTCTCCGGGCACTCTGCGGAACAGCCAACAGGCCACTGCTCGGTTTGGCCGGAAGAACCAACAGCAGCTCGCTCAGACTAGGTACCCCACTCACACGCCCCCTTCCCTCCGGAGCAGCCAGAAGAACCCAAGACCTGTTCTCAGTTGTGTTTGAGGGGGGAAAAAATGCATGAAACCCCGCCCCCATCACCATCTTATTGGAAGTTTCCAGTCCCTCCCTCTAGGGGCACCCATGGTCCCTGAAACAGAGGGGGGGAGAGGGAGGGTGGTGGCTGGGGGGCAGAGCTAGACTCCTGCCACGGAGTGTCACGCTTTGCATGGCACTGGACAGCCAGCCCTCCTGCTGTTCCGGTTTAACCAGAGGACGGTATCCTCTGACGGGTTCCTGGACACACACACACACACACACACACACACACACACACACACACACAGAGACACACAGACACCCTCCCCCCCACATACTCCCCCACCCACCACCCCTGCACGGCCCCAACACCCTTAGTTGCTTGAGGGTATGGAAGGCAGTAGGGTCTTTCTTTCGCTGAGATTTCTGGGAACTCCATGAGCTCATCAAACTTCCAAGTTCAACACCTGCATGTGCACTCAGGCTAGACAGTCCCTCAGCCCCAGATGCACACCGTACACAGTGTCTGGTGGACGCCTGGAATATCCTGCTGAACCTGAAGGGCGGGTCAAGGCCTCTCGGCTACTGCCCATTGTGCCTTGTTTTAGCACTGTGTCCACCCACCAGCCTTCTCACACATACCAGGGTGCCGATTCGTGCTCCAGCGGCCCACAGTGGAGAAGACCCCATTACAGGAGTGACGGAGTATCTTTATGAATGCCATGAAGGGTTAGAGCTCCCATTTCTGGGCTCTAATGTGTGGAGAAACAGGAAGGGGAAAATCTAGCCGAGAAGGCTCTAGAAGGCCTGGCAGTGCAATGAGTTCTTTTCCTGTTACCAAAACCAAGAAGTTTCTAGAAGGCCTGGGAGTGCACTAAGTTCCTTTCCTGATACCATAGCCGAGAAAGTTCTAGAAGGCCTGGCAGTGCAATGAATGCCTTTCCTGATACCATAGCTGAGGAGGTTCTAGAACGCCTGGGAGTGTACTGAGTTCCATTCCTGATACCATAGCCGAGAAGGTTCTAGAAGGCCTGGCAGAGTGACCAGGTCGGAACAGTTCTACATGACTAGAATTTTGCAAATGCTGACAACAAAAGCTACAACAAAAGGGACATGGAGTTCTGACAGGGAAATGATCCCAGGTCAGCGGCAGCCATCAGCCCTTCCCAGCACCTGGCTGGCCTCGAGCCTGGACGGAAAGTAGCTAGGCTGGACAGGTCAAGAGGCTGCGCATCTGAGGAAGCGAGTGAGGACCCAGCCGTTCCCGTTGACATAGAAACGGGCATTGTTCTGTGCAGGGAATTTGTTGAAATCTGACACTGTGGGCTGCTCACCACAGTGGAGAGGAAGAGGTGGAGAGAGAGAGAGAGAGAGAGAGAGAGAGAGAGAGAGAGAGAGAGAGAGAGAGAGAGAGAGAAAGAGGGGTCTCTGTGTACGTGCACACACCTGTGTGTCTGAGGGCCCTGGAAGTACACTGATCATGCATCAGCGGTTGCCCACCAAAATGAAGAGAGAGGGAGTGTGTGTGTGTGTGTGTGTGTGTGTGTGTGTGTGTGTGTGTGTGTGTGGTCTCTGTGTATGTGCGCATGCCTGTGTGTCTGAGGGCCCTGGATGCCTTTTTGGGTCACACTCAGTGATACTCAGGGGGGTTACTCCTGGCTCTGCACTCAGGAATCACTCCTGGCGGTACTCAGGGGACGCTATGGGATGCTGGGGATCAAACCCAGGTCAGTTGCATGCAAGGCAAACACCCTCCCCACTGTACTATCGCTCCAGGAATGTCTTTCTTGGCCCAAGTGTGGTTATGGGGTTTCGAGTCATCTTTCCCGCTGTCAGTGATGAGGGCCCTAGGGGTGCAGGAGTAACCCAGGGGAGGTAGCAGCCCTGGGTGCAGCATGGGGGAACACTGATGGTTTAAAGCAGGACGATTTTCAGGGGGAGCTGAGTGACATTTTTTCCTATAATGAGTTTGGTTTGCAATACCTGGTCCTTGTGTGAACACCAGCCACTCAGATGTTGACCCCCAAACTGGGAGAGCCAGGGGTGTACACACAGACACACATGCACGCACAGACACATACGCACATGACCCCCAAGCTGGGAGAGCCAGGGGTGTACACACAGACAAACAAGCACACATACACATGTACACACGGACACACGCGCGCGCGCGCGCACACACACACACACACACACACACACGTCCTCTGGGGTCCCGGGTGCCCAGCTCCCCTCCTGAGCTCCATGCCACTTCCCTCCTCTGGCAGACCTGAATTCCTAAACATCCACCTCAGCACCCCCGCACCCCCTGCTCTCAAAGGTGCCCCCAGCCACCGCCAACCTCAAACCCCGCCTCGCCCTTGGGGACTCGCCACTCGGCAGCTCACAGTAAGTCACACCTCACACTATTCACACTGGGCTGAGACCTGGCCCCAGCTATGTCTGTGCCTCCACAGAGTGTGGGAGAGGAGGAGCCCAGCACACCTGCCCGTCCAGCCACCCCCCACCGCCCCCACGCCCTGAAGGCCCCCTGGACTTACAAAGGCAGAGGGCAGGAAGAGGACCCCGAGTTCGTAGGAGCGGATCATCAGCTGCGCGCCGTTCCTCTCTAAGACTCCCCAGGCCGCCTTGGACAGGTTCGCACTGCGGGGACAAGCACGCAAAGAGCTGATGGGGGGGAAGGGGACCCGGGTACCTGACATCCGCGCACCCCTGGGCAGGTCACTTCATGAATGGTCCGGCACTGCTGGGCGCCCTTGGGAATGGCAGTTAAACCCTTTGGGGCAGGGTGCCTCGGTGCACGGAGCACATGGCTGGCTGGCTTGGGACAGCCCCGCCCACTGCTGTTTTTTCCCCAGGGGCAGCCGACAGACTAGTCGTCTTGCTGTAGACAGGCTCCTTCTGGCATAGTTCTGGCACAGTCGTTGGTTTTTCGTGACCCTGGTATAGCCAGAACCTCTGGTTTTGCTGGGGGTAATGGAATAATGGAAATACAAACTTGAACAAGACTTTTTTTTTTTTTTTTTTTTTGCTTTTTCGTGTCACACCCGGGCTGGAGTGATAGTACAGTGGTTGGGCGTTTGCCTTGCGTGCAGCCAGTCGGGCTGAGCCAGGTTCATTTCTTCTGCCCCTCTCGGAGAGCCTGGCAAGCTACCGAGAGTATCTCGCCTGCACGGCAAAGCCTGGCAAGCTACCTGTGACGTATTCAATATGCCAAACACAGTAACAACAAGTCTCAAAATGGAGACATTACCGGGCCTGCTCAGGCAAAATTGATGAACAACGGGAGGTCAGTGTTTGACAGTGTGTCACACCTGGTGATGCACAGGGGTTCTTCCTGATTCATGCATTTAGGAATTACTCCTGGCAGTGCTTGGGGGACCATATGGGATGCCGGGGATGGAACCTGGGTCGGCTGCATGCAAGGCAAACACCCTGCCCACTGTACTATTGCTCCAGCCCAAGACTCATCTTTTGGCTTGGGGGCTCCCTCTGACTTGCTGCTGGCAGGGGGTGGGTTGTGGGGGTCTAAAGCCTCCTGCATACAAAACCTGCTGTCAGGTTACTGAGCCGCCGCCCCACCCTACCCCACGCATGCAGCACTGTCCTTTGTGGTTTCAGGGCCAGACCCAGTGGGACTTAGGGCTTCCTCCCAGCTCTGTGCTCAGGATCAAACCAGGGTCTGTCAGGTGCCAGGCAAGCGTCTTCAGGCCCTGCACTCTCGCCAGTCCACACAGTGGGACCGCAAGCTTCACATTCTCTTTCTCTGCTTTTCCTGGAGCGGGGAGAAGCAGGTGGATGGTGGGCGAGGGTAAGCCTACTGTGCTGACTGCTACTTCCAGTGAGAGGGAAATAGCTCCCGGGGCATGAGACTGTGCTGGTCTCCGGACAACGCAAGGCACCTAGGATCCTGTTTCCCATGGACGAAGAGCAGCGGATGTGGCTCAGAACCAAGTCTGACCCGGGAGGGAGGAGCCACGCAGGGGGAGGCAGAGAGGACTGAACTCCGAGGCATCTCTCCAGAAGGCCTGCATGTGATGCAGAGTCCGGCCTGGGCTTTCCCCAACCCCTGAGACGCTCCCTTCAGGTAGACATGCCCAACAGCTGTCTGATCCTGCCAAGTAAACCATTCAGACTCCAGAAGCCTGACTAGGTGAATGAATGACTATTTCCAGATTCTCAGCGCAGTACCCAAAAGTTCTCTGGGCTTAGTGCCAGGATCCTTCCACGTGGGAATCAGAGCGTCGGATAAGAGTTACCAGGGGTGGAGTGAGACAAACTGTCTGTGCTCAAGGTCTGAGGTCACAGGTGAGAATTAGACACCAGGGGCTGGAGTGACAGCACAGCAGGGAGGGCATTTGCCTTGCACACACAACGGACCTGGGTTTGATTCCCAGCATCCCATATGGTCCCCCGAGCACCACCAGGAGTAATCCCTGAGTGCTGAGCCAGGAGTAACCCCAGTGCATAGCCAGGTGTGACTCAAAAGCCAAAAAAAAAAAAAAAAATCAGACACCAGAGCAGAGGACAGGGTTTAAGAAGCAGGAAAGCTAAACCAAGACTCTAACATGGGAGGCTTTTTACAAACAGCCCGGGCAGGCCCACACTGAGAACAAGGATGCTCTCTTGGAAGCCATAATCCTGAACCCGGCTGGTCAAGAGGTGTCAGAGCCAACGGTCAGGACATGACATGATCACGGGGATTATGACGCCACCAGAAAATGTCTCCGTCCCCTGGCTCCAGGGCACTGTGGGGCCACAGGGAGCTAGGGACAGTGGCTTCTGTAGGAGTTTCCCACCTCAGGCAGTCCTGTCTTCCTGGTGCTGGCCGAGCACCACAGACGTTGAGACACATTCCGGAAGACTTCCCTGCTCTTCCCTGTACATGCCATGTGGACCGAAGGCACCGTGAGCACTCCTGCTCAGCTCCTCTCCTGGCCAGTCTGTTTTCTGGCTTCTCGGACAGAACCCTACCTGCTGGAGCCAGAGCCCTTTCCGGTAGCGAGGTGCTGGTGGAGGCAGTGACACTGGAGCAATAGTTCACAGTAAGAAGATCCGTCTGTCTACACTCTGAACAACACCTTGAATCACTGCCACCCAGGGCAGCCTGGGTGGGGGCGGGTGCAGAGCACAGGTCCTGCAGAGTCCAGCTGGACCACGGGTGTCCCAGCTGGTCACAAGCTCTTTCAGTCCCCACTGCCGGGTGAAATGCAGATTCTATCCTGCTCAGAAAAGACCAGGACTGCTCCCGAAAGACCAGATCTTGGCCCACGACACGGAAACTTAGTCCCCAGGCTTAAAGGCAGAGCTAAACTACCCAAGCGGCACAGGATCCACTGGGGAAAGCAGGAGAGAGCCTGGGAATGTCCCCTGAGGAAGTGGTTTTGCATTGCTGGTCTGGAGGCTGTCCTGGGCTAAGGACATGAGTTCAAGAGCAAGAGCACGTGCCCAGCACACGCGAGACCCTGAGGCTCCCTGGACAAGAACAACAGCCCAAATCAGGAGGGTTCCCACTCTCCGGGGCACTCTGGCTGTCAGCCCATGCACGCGTATAAACACCCACTGGCACCGCTAACGCCAAAGCGCCCTCCCCACCGCGCATGCGCACGCCCAGCAGTGGCCACGGCTAATGTGGCGCAGAGGCCAGTGGCACCTGTGCTAGGGCTGGGGAAAAGGGGCCCAGGAAGGGCGCCGGAGCAAGGCAGGAGAGTGCAGGGCCAAATCCGCACTCTGCCCGTCGCCAAGAACAGCTGGGCTCACTGAGTGTCCCACTCCCCAGAACTCCTCCAGGTGTGGCTGGGCACAGGTGGGCGGGGATGATGGGGGCCTCCGGCTGTGGGCCAGCACCCCCTAGAGGCGGGGGTGAGGAACGACATCCGCAGGTGCAGCGGATGGGAGCTGAGCTGCAGTCTGAGCAGGCGGGAAAATGAGTCACCCTGGGGGTGATGGGGGTGCTGTCCCCACATCTTACAGTCCCCCTCCCCAAAGCGTGCCTGTCACGTGCACACTGCGTGGTGCCTGGGCTGTGGGCCTGCCTGCAGGGTTGCGTGCTCCCCCTGGCTCCCTTCACTTAAAGGATGCAAGAGTTTCACAAGAGGAAGAAATACTTGGCCCTGCAAGGCTCAGGTCTACCGCTGGGGGTGGGCTAATGACTCTGCGTGTGCCAGGAGTCTGGGTCCCCAGCCCCGGCTCTCCATGTCTGACCAGTCTGGCCCCCAGCGCTGCTCAAACAAGTAGCTGAGGAGAGCCCTAGGGGCTCTGAGCCCTGCTGGGAGGCTTCCCCCCCCCCGCAGATTGTTTTTTCTTCTTTGGGTGACACCTGGCAATGCACAGGGGTTACTCCTGGCTCTGCACTCAGGAGTTACTCCTGGCGGTGCTCAAGGGACCATATGGGATGCTGGGAATCAAACCCGGGTCGGCCCCATGTAAGGCAAACGCCCTACCCACTGTACTACAGTTCCAGCCCCTTCCCCTGCAGATTAAAGCGATAAACACACATCAGGTTCTAATCATTCATCCAGACCAATTCTGTCAGTATCTTTTTTTTTTTCCTTCTGGGTTACACCTGCAAGTGCTCAGAGCTTACTCCAGGCTCAGCATTAAGGAATTTCTCCTGGCAGAGCTTGGGGAACCATATCAGGTGCCCAAGTCGAGAGCAAACCCGGGTAAGCCCTGTGCAAAGAAAGAACCCTACTTGCACCATTGCTCTGGCCCTGTGGCAATGCCCTCCCTCCAACTTAGATTATCAATTATCAGTCAACATTGTATCAGTCTTTTAAAAAAAAATTCGTGGCTGATAGGATCTTTGGAAAATTTTGCTAATCAAAATAGGCAAAATAGGTTTCACTGTGATCTCCCAGATTACTTGTGACGCTCAGTATTGGCCAGATGTTTCTTAACTGTAAATCATTCTTTATAACGAGGCTGTTTTCAGTGATTTTCAGTGATGTGCAGTATGCTTCTGTTCCCTTTTGCTGTGCTAACAGACTGCTGCAAATTCAGTGCCTGAAAACACCATCAATTTGCCGGCTTGCAGTTCAGAGACATCTGAAGCAGGTCCTGTGGGTTGAAGCCAGGGGCTGGGAAGGCTGCCTTCCTTCTGGGCTTCCAGGGGAGGGTCTGCTTCCTGGTCTTTTCCAGCTTGTCTTATTTCCCAGTTAACGGCTCAGTTTTGGTGCCAGAGCTGGAAGTGCTCAGGGCTCACTCCTGGCTCTGTGACCTCTCAGGGGACCACATGGGGTGCTGGGGGTTGAACCATGGTTGTTCTTGAGCCAGACAAGCACCTTACATCCTGTATTATCTCTAGCCACATGAACAGAATTTCTGAAACAGTTCTGAATTCCAAAAGAGTTCCCTCTCCTCCACCCCCTAACCCCCTTGATGGTCTGGTACATTTGCGAGTTCCGATTGAATCTCTATCTTTTCCAACCACCGTCACTGTCACTGTCCTCCCATTGCTCATTGATTTGCTAGAGCAGGTCAGTAACAGTCTCACAACAAATTGTGAGACTTGTTGTTACTGTGTTTCGCATATTGAATACTCAGGGGTAGCTTGCCAAACTTTGCCGAGTGGGGCGGAGGAATCGAACTCGGGTCGGCCGTGTCGGCTTCGTGCAAGGCAAACGCCCTACCCGCTGTGCTAT